GAGCAGCATGGATGTGAGATGTGTTGCCATGGAAATCCACCTTTGTGAGATGTGTAAGGATGGCGCATGAGGCTGAGTTTAGGGATTGGACACTTGTTTATCATGTGCTCTGCTCCATCACCAGAAACACACACAGAGAGACGGGGCGGGGGAGGGAGAGAGAGAGAGAGAGAGAGAGAGAGAGAGAGAGAGAGAGAGAGAGAGAGAGAGAGAGAGAGAGAGAGAGATTGGAAAATTTGTTCTAAAATCTGAGGTTACAGAACTTCAATCAAAAATGTCAAGGCTTTACAATCCAATGGCCAGAGAGTCTGGGAAACAGAAACTTCATTTAGTGGCTGATTGAAGAAGAGGCAGACTCCCTCCGGTTAAGTACTGAGCTGAACTCAAGAAAGCCAGTAACAGAGAGGGAGGACTGATGACCAAAGGGATTAAGACTGGGCTGGTGCCGGGCGGTGGTGGCACATGCCTTTAATCCCAGCACTCGGGAGGCAGAGGCAGGCGGATCTCTGTGAGTTCGAGGCCGGGCTGGACCGATAGCCTCCAAAACAATACAGAGAAACCCTGTCTCGTAAAAACCAAAAAAAAAAAAAAAAAAAAAAAAAAAAAAAGACTGGGCTGGTTTAACCCCCAGAAACAGCTGACCAGACAAAGGTTAACTCCTGAATCCCAGGCATCAGCCTGGGAATCCAGCATGGGACTGATCAAGACCCCCTGAATGTGAGTGTCAGTGAGGAGGCCTAGGTAATCTATTGAGCCTTGGGCAGCAGATCAGTACCCATCCCGAGTATACACACGGACTTTGGACTCCCATCCAACAATGTGAGGTGCACTCTCAGCCTGAACTCTTGGGGAAGGGTCTAGGCCCTGCCCTGTATGAAATGACAGACTATGGACACCCCCATGGAGGGCCTCACCCTCCCTGGGGAAATGAGAGGATAATGGGGGGGGTTGGGGGGGAGGGCATAGGAGGAGGGGAGGGAAAGGGAGAGGGACCTGGAACTGACTTTTGAAGCAACCTTGTTTCTTATCTAAATTTAAACTGAAAAATATATAAAAAAAAAAGTCAAGGCTTGCCAGGTGGTGGTGGCGCACGCCTTTAATCCCAGCACTCGGGAGGCAGAGGCAGGCGGATCTCTGTGAGTTTGAGGCCGGGCTGGACTGACAGCCTCCAAAACAATACAGAGAAACCCTGTCTCGTAAATACCAAAAAAAAAAAATATCAAGGCTCCGGAAGCTGGTGAGAAAGAGCAGCCTACACTAGAGACAACTCATATTCAATTCCCAGCACTCACAACCATTTGTACATTTATAACTCTAGCACCAGAGACACCAATGCCTCTTCTGACTGCTATGGGTACCTGTACTCACCTGCACATATGAACACACAGGTAAATGCACACACACATGATTTCAAAAATAATGAATTTTAAAACTAGAATTTCAAAACTAATGGCAGGCAAGAAAAGCCTCAGTAATGCTAAGTTTATTCCTTCTTCAGAGACCCTGAATCCCCAATAGATGAACCAAAGGAGCCAGAACATTGCTTGAGGGCCCCGCAACCACGCTTCTGCATTTCTGTGCTCAACACTTCTAACCCATCATAACTCACTCGACTCACTCTCTCTCATTCTCTCTCTCTCTCTCTCTCTCTCTCTCTCTCTCTCTCTCTCTCTCTCTCTCTCTCTCTCTCTCTCTCTCTCAACTTGCTTTCCCATAATTCCACAGAAACCTACCCAGGAGTCCTTTCTGTTTGGTTTAGTGTGGCTTTTGCTCATAAAAAGTAGATGCCCCAAAGTACACAGTGAGCTCCCTTTTTTTCTAAATTCCCAAATAAACACCAGCTACAAAAATAAAGCTTGTGTTAACAGCCATTTTTTATTTTAGAGTGAGTCACAAGATGATTTTATGCCATCTTGAATGCCATTTTCTGTACTGCTGCCAAAGTCATTGACAAAAAAATAGGTATTTTCTACTTTTATGGGGATTGCAATAGGAACAAGAAAGGTTTATAACATTTGTACTATGTTATTCTTAAAAGATACAGAAGACCCGGATATACTATGGGTTTTTTGGTTTTGTTGTTGTTTGCTTGTTTATTTGTTTTTTGCTTGTCTGTTTTGTTTTTACACAGCCCATTAAGTACTGTGGGACTTCTGTCAAGTCTAACACAAAGAAGGGGGAGGATGGGATGTGTGGAATGGATGGTGTTTGTGTGTGGACCCAGGGCACATCCATTTCCTTTGATCTCACTTTAAATTATATTACATAAAATCCCTATCATTTAGATACTAAATCTGGGCCAGAGAGATAACAGAGAAAAGGTGTTTGCCGCCAAGCCTGACAACCTGAGTTTGAGAACCTATTCCTGCAGCTGTCTTTTGACATCCATACATGCTATGTGATAAATATGGACACGGACACACACACACACACACACACACACACACCACAAAAAACTAAATTAATTAATGTTTTAATGTTTAAACCTTTCTAATATATTTGCCACGTACTTTCTGAAACCTTCATGACATTTTTCCAGAGCGTGGACTGGGCTTAAACACTTCATTGGCTCATTCCTTATTTTACCCAATCCAATCTCATTTCAATTTTCTAGCATTTACTTCCCAGATATCCTTAAGCCAGTGCTAGCAGAGGCCCCAGAAACCAGAACCCGTCCTAGGCTGTTTATTTTTTAATGACTTCACTCCCATCTCTGCTTCTTGGTTCACTGACAATGCACTAAAACCTCCAGTTCTTAAATTAGACAGTTTTGTGGGAGGAAATTCACAGAATTCATGTTTAGCTTGTACAAAAGAATCACACATCTGCAAGTCGGTTCATTTTTAAATAAGTCTGCACTGCAGAAGACCCAAGGATGTCAGTACTCCCCAGCTCTAGTTGGCAGTAACTATTACAAAGTAATATTGCCCATGTGTGCTCAATGCCAGTGGACTAACTAGTTAGCAGAGTCATAAAGTAATGTGGCTGAGCTTAAATAACTGAAGTTACACGTGACTCTGAATTTTCAGAGCAGGCAAGGGGTTCTAAGGAAGGAGGGGTCCCATCCTCTCAATGTGAGGGATATGGTAGAAGGATACAGCGTCTGTGGCTGTGAGTTGCTGTGTCTCTCCATGGTCTCAATCCTCATTTAACCCCACAGTCTCTAAGAAGAACAAAAGCTCTGCCGCTCTATGCAGAGCGATTTCAGGAGTCCAGTTCCTCCCACCAAGTTCCTTTGCCCAGATCTGAGTCAGGCTTTAGCTGCATGCTTCACTGAATAATGAAATAGATGGGAGAAGGCCATAGACTTGATGTGAAAGGAAAGGCCGGGAAGAAGGGGCCAAGGAAATGGAATGAACCCTTCATCGATGTTTGAATTACATCACCAAACAAGTGATGGCAATGCCAATTCGGTGACTGGGGTGAAATCAGTGCACTGAGAGAAGGGAGTGGAGGGGGGGGGGGCTGTCCACTGCAGGAGAGTGTGTGATTGACCTAAGTACCGGATGAAAAGATGAAGATCTATTATCAGAGGTCTACTTAGCAAGCGCATACACTTGGCCGCAGCCAGTGCAAATTAGATTAAAAGACGATAATGCCGTTTCTGAGACAGCTGCCTTCCATGTGTGAATATGCCTGTCACTAAGTGATACTATCAAAATGCAGAAAAGTGGTAAGCCAGTATGGATGCACACCAGTGACCCTAGCAGTCAGGAGGATGCCCAGGAGTTCAAAGGCCAATATTGGTTTCAACTGCCGGGTGGTGGTGGCACATGCCTTTAATCCCAGCACTTGGGGGGGGGGGCAGAGGCAGGTGGATCTCTGTGAGTTCGAGACCAAGCCTGGTCTACCGAGCAAGTTCCAGGACAGGCTCCAAAACAATACAGAGAAACCCTGTCTTGAAAAACCAATATATATATTCAGAGGGAGTAAAGGCCAGCCTATACTATAAAGTATATTCTTAAAAAAAAAAGTAAAAAGTAGAAGGGGGCGAGGAAGAAAATAAGTAGGAACATGGGAAACCTGACTATTGCCATAACTTTTTGTCCCTCTGTTCCCTCACACATGTGTAAAAGCAAGAGCAAGGATACCTGTGCTCTCAGGTCGCCTTCTAAAAGCTTAAGTCATTCAACAACCTAAGCTTGCCTGCTTTGAGTTCCTTTTGGTTTACCCACAGAGTGACAACTGAGGTCAACTGTCTCACACCCTCTTCCACAAACTTGCAAAGAAACTTTTCTGGAATCTTTGGGGCACCTGCCATCTGTTAGCCCTGGCTAGGATCCAAGCAGAAAATATGAGCTCATGTTTTTAAAAAATTTAAAAAATAGAATTCCACACTTTCCAGTTGCAATTTTCTCAAACCTTAAAATACCGCTACTCTAAAAACAAGCAAACCCCGAGATTGAAAGAGAGGAGACAAATTAGGTCATGTCATCCTGCCCATCTGTGTTTGGGAGTTTAAGACTAAAACTGAACATGATATCCCCAGACTAAGCAATGTCTTGACCTAATGAACAGGGAATTTTAAGTGCCTATTCAAAAGCATAAGGGACCTAATGGAGATATGTTCATTATAAGTGAGTCAAGGTCCCTAGATGGGACACTGTTGCTTAGAGTAGAAGTAGCTACAGGGATCAGCTAGTATAACTTTTGGCAAACTACCACAACAGGCCTTTTGTAGAATAATTGTTAAGATTTACTTACTTATTTTATGTATGAGAGCTCTATCTGCATATATGACCTTATGCCAGAAGAGGGCATCAGATTGCACTCTAGATGTTTATGAGCCACCATGTGGTTTTTGGGAATTGAACTCAGGACCTCTAGAAGAACAGGTAGTGCTCTTAACCACAGAGCCATCTCTCCAGCCCCACAACCCCACAACAGGCCTTTAAATGAGCCAACATGAATAGCCATGTTGGCAGAATTCGGGCTTTGAAGTCAATGATGACATCATTTGGTTTTATGTTCCCTCTCTCTCTTCTCATACCCTTTCACAGATGAGAAAAACTGAAGTCTGACACCTTAAATGGTTTTCCCAAGGTGGCTCAGACCAGAGTCTGGGTTGTAAATCACAGCACTGACTTCCACCAAGTGGAATAGAACTCATCAAATGATGCAGATTCAGGCAGTAACTTGGAATGGTGACTCAAGCCGCAGCACTGAATGATTCTGATTAGAACACACCTCTTTGGGTCAGGAGAGCTCTGACCCTACACCTGCCCTAACTAGACCCTGATACCCGTGGCAGATGGCTGGCGACAGGAGGGTAAGTGTTGGTTTTTTTCTGCATGTTTAATTTGTGCCACATAGCTCTCCCCCCAACTCCTCCAAAAACGATTAAAATGCTGGAGACTACACAGCACAGAATTCAGACACTGACGACCAAAATCAATAACAAACGTTGTCAGTGTGTGTCCTCTCATGGGGCTAGTGGAAAAATTGGCAGTGACCACTGCTTTGGAATTCTTTTTTTTATTATTATTATTGTGTCTCTCTGGATTAGTTTTTCTTTCCTTCTGAAAATCCATATTAGGCACTTAGCGTGCTGGCGGCAAAGTGTTGGGTTCTGGGGACATGAAGTGATGGAAGGATGCGGATCCCCTGCAGGCTATCCCCTAGTGACTGCCAGCGAAGAAGGATACTCAACAGGCAATCACAAGAAGAGTGTGTTCTTGCAAGTTAATTAAAGACTTGACAATGCCCAAGAAGTAATCGTATTTCAGCGAAACGTAATAGGAAAGACCTGAACTCTATGTTCAAATCCTTCTCTGAGAAGTGGCCTTTCAGCTTGGAAGAGCTGGAGAGAACAAAGAGAAATAAATAATTGGCTTTAAAAAAAGAGCAAGTGTTTCTACTAACTGCCCTTAGCAGCCACATAGGGAAACTCCGCCCTGAACCTGACATCTCACTGGCAGCTAATAATCCATAGATGAAACAATGAAAGCAGTCACCTAGGGAAAAACAGTTCACAGCTTGGAGATGTTTCTCAAGGAAAAGGAAAGAACCAATGGAAGCCAAATGTCCCAAAGAAAGAGTTGCTCGAACTAGGAGTCAAAGGACCACATCACAGTTATCAAGGTAATTAGGTCGCCTTAATCATGTATTCAATGGAGCCATTCGTGGTTATCATCTAGCAAGTGCTGGGCTGTGGAATGCGGAACCAAAGGGGATGTAACACTTGCCTGGACTTCATTCATTCTCTTACAAAGAAAGAGAGATAAATACTTGGCTCAGTATGACAGTCACCACTAAAGGCAACATGCCAAATTCTCTGGTGCCCTGCAGTAAAGGGGCTTGCATCATCCAGGGACAATTAAGGAGGGCGTTTGATGATAATAAAAGGGACAGTAAAAGAAATCCAGGGCCTGTGTTAACTACAAGTCTGGACGTAATAGGTGACTTGTGGATGGTAAAGAATAAATCAGGAATGCCGAGGTATTTGGCATAACAATGTTCGAAACACTGATGTGCCCTTTCTGACACTGTCCTCCAACCACAGCAGTACCCCCTTGTTAGATGAGCCACAGAGGGTCACTGCGCTGTGTCAATGGTTCTACCAGCAGAAATATTTGCCCCAAGTAATAACTAAACATTCATTTTTTGGAGTCTTGGTATCAAAATAAAAATTAAAGCTTAGCTGGGCATGGTAGAGTATGCCTATAACTCTTGTACCTGGGAGATAGAGACAGACGAATAGGGGGTCAATCATAAAAAAGAATGATTAGAGAAGCTGACAAGTTTATATATAGACAGATGCCATTTCATAGTTTGGTAGATGAAATCAGATCAAGACAATAACCCAGATAGAAAGACTTAAGAGGATACAGAAAATGAACTTATTTTGATGCTAAATTCTTGGCCTGAAGTTGCACGCCTTTAGCCCATTGGCGTTGTGCAGAGTGGAAGCTCCGAGTGAGTGGGAAGTTGGGCTATCCTGGGCAAAGGCTGGAGGAAAGGACTCCTCGGGACGGATAAAGGGCCCTGGGGGATTGTTTCTTCTTCCTTCAATAGAAATTTATGAAAACCATGTAAGTGTATAACAGACATCATGGAGTACACTGCTTTTCTATCTAAGTTTAATTTCACTTCATGCATGCGTGTGTGTGTGTGTGTGTGTGTGTGTGTGTGTGTGTGTGTGTGTTTCTGTTGCCTTCTTGTATGTACAGCTTGAGTATGCCTGGTACCTGAGGAGGCAAAAGAGGGTGTCACAGGAGTTGTTGGCCACCGTGTGGATGCTGGAGGCCAAACCTGGTTCCTCTGCAAGACCAGTGTTCCTAACTGCTGAGCCGATTTTCCAGACCCAGATGTCACACTGAGGATCGGGACTCAAAGAAGCTGGGTTTTAAAGAACAAAGATGGACTTAGCAACTTGCTTTTCTATATTTAACTTGAGAGTGAGAGGAGACAGGAGGGGATTTGAGGGAAAGGAAATGGGAGCGGCTACAGGGTAGAAAGGAAAGGGAGGGGATAATATAATTTAATCACAATGTAAAAAAATCAGTCAATCAATTAATTAATTTGAAAAAGAAGCTAGTTGTCTATTGCTGGGTTACAAACAGGGCAATATTTGTGATGGAATTCAAACCCTTACCTGTTGTCAAATTCCATGTTCTTTTTCCTTTTACCACAACATCTAAAGAACTACCAACTGTGTCCTTTAACACTTACCAAAAAAGCCAACCCTTTCAGGAACAATTTGTGATAAACTTCTTCAATAAACAGTGTGGACGGTAGGATGTCTTTCAAATGCTCACCAGAGTCCAAGCAAAATGCTACAAACTGTGAAGTATTACGTGTCATGATTGATACACATATGCATGTGTGTGTGTGTGTGAGTGAGAGAGAGAGAGAGATTCCATTTGAGAAAATAGCCCCACTGAACCCATGATTCTAATTTGGTAGATATTTGTGTGGTGTGAGTTAGGGAACAGAAGAGACTGCAGTAGCTTACATAAGCCCTAACAAAATTCAGAAGGACATAAACAATCAATAGTAATTCTAGGTTTTCCTGGTCCCAACAGTCCCTATCCCTCTCACCCTTTGACGTTTTGACTGTTCAGAAACCACGTCTGTATAAAGGGACAGCAGTTACCTTGGTCAGTTTCACCTCGAGCACATGGCTGCTATGGATCCGACTGTCGAAATGAGCTACCTCTTTGGAAGAGGACTTCACCTTGGCAATGATCTTCGCATAGGAGAAAACAATCACAGCCGTTGGGAGCAGGAGGCAGAAGAAGAGAATGCTCAGGATGAACACCTGACCCCCGCCTGAAGCGTGGGCCAGCCACCAGTCCAGGGTGCATGAGGTTCCGAAGGGCTCGGGTGCATAGTCCCCCAGGCCCACCAAGGGCATGGTGGTCCAGAAGGAAGCATAAGCCCAGATGACTGCCAGGCAGATGTAGGCATGCTTTCTCTTCAGCCAGACCCCTGGAGGTGGAAAAAAAAGCATTACCCGCATGGAACCTGCCCTACACCCATATACCTCCCCTGGACAAGTCAAATTCCATCTCCAAAGATTTATTCCACTGAATTCTGGGAGACGTGGACAGATAATTGAAGCCTGGGGGAGAGCGAAGTCAAGGGAGGGAAAGTTCCAGAGCTGGAGCCTTTGTCCAGGAAGATGCAATTTGAAGAGAATTCACAGGGACAGTTTTCTCTAGGCACCTAGGAGCTTCCGGAGGGAGAAGTGACACAGGGATGGGGGAAGCAGACATCAAAAGAAGGAAAGGACGCTGAAGACAATGGAGGAGCTTGGGAAAACATCTCAAGAGTATGTTAGCAAGTGGTCCAAGAATTGAAAGGAGACTCCTTCCCAGGAGGTGAGAATTCACAAAGGATTGGTCGTGTCTTCCAAACACCCTTATTCCTAAAACTTTTTGTGTGTCTACACCCCTTCTTTGCCTAAGAACTGGCTGTGTGGGGTTGCTGGGTCTTGATCCTGTCCCTGTGTTGTGACACTGGGATAGGTGACCGTGCTTGGAAATTCATGCAGACTTTTTGTTGTTGTTGTTACTTATGGGACAGTCAAGCACACACAGCCATGGTGGGAGGATAGCAATCTTATTAGGTTGTCACACATGCTGTGAAAGTACCTCTGGGGGAAAAAAAAATCTTCAAGAAGGTTGGCGTGGGGGGGGGGGGCAGAGCTCTGTGTATCAACACTAGTTTCTTAACCGAAAGAGAATTCCAAGACGAAGAAACGCTGCAGTAATTTAAAATGTTTTTAATTGTAAATTTAAAAAAAATACATAACTAGTGATCATTTCCCAAAGCTCAACAGTCACCAAAGCTAGGCCCGTAGCAGTCACCATGGAAGTGTTCATACCTCGCTTGTCACACTGCAGGAAGGCCACGGGAGTGGCTCCTTGCTGCTTTGGTTGCACAGTCGCAGGGTAGAAATATAAAAAGACATGGAATAAGATTTCTCCCACAAGCGCTGAGTCTGCTTCCGTTCTAGGCAAGGGAAATTTAAGTCGCTAGGATGGCAATTCTTCCGGGGATCAGTGTGTCATGTTGCCTCTCTAAACACTGGCCATTCTTACCAGAAAGGGGACGTTGTGCTGGCACATTGTTTATGGGTTTGTAGTTGGCTTCTTTGTTTTCTTGCTTATTTATTTTGAGACCCGGTCTCTAGCCGACGCTAGCCTCAAATTGGCCGTGTAGCAAAGATGTCTTGAACTTCTGATCCTCTTATCTCCATTTCCCAAGAACTGGAATTGCAAGTGTACCCTCCCACCGTGCCTAACTTCTGTGGTGCTGGGGGTAGAAACCAGGGCATTGTGTACCCTAGGCAAGCACTCTCACAATCTACATCCCTAGTCTTCAGTTCAAGGTTTTGATGAAGTTTAATGTTATGAAATAATGTCAGTTTTGCAAACTATGAACGCGAACATTTACTCCTGTGTGTGTGGTTGAGATGTGAGAGTGTGTGTGTGTGTGTGTGTGTGTGTGTGTGTGTGTGTGTGTGATCGCTAAGAAAAAAACAGAAGAAATCGCTTCTATGCTCAGTTGTCTGCATTTTCTCCAATACATGATATTACACACCATGAAGTACAAAGCTTCCTCAAGACCAACCGGAGAAGGGTAGCGATCAGGTAGCCACAAAGGTTTGTCAGCTCTTGGTAATCCATTATAACGCATCAGACACTGGCAGAGATCATGAACATATATTCATAAGGATGTGCATAGGCATACGGGTAAGCATTGAGAGTGAGGGTTACTTAGTGAGATGCTTTGATACTTACATTCCAGTATGGTGAAAGGCTGTCAAGTACAGGAGGGAGGAGATTAGTAGATGGGTTCTGTGTTGCTCCAGCAGTCAGAACTAGGACCAATGGGCGGAGGTTACTGGGAGGCAGTTTTGTCTCAATATAAGGAATAACATTGTTACAATGAGAGCAGACCAATCAGAGAATGGGCTGCCTTGTGCAAGAGTAAGCTCCCCGTCACTGGTCACTGGAATTATTCAAGGGGCCAAACGGTCATCTCTCGGGGATGACTATATATATAGCATTACATGGTGGGAAGGTCTGCATATCCCCAAGTGACCTTTTAAATTCCAATATGCTAGAGAACACTGTGTGGGTGGTCCAATAGTGAATCAGATTAAATGATGAAATATCACTGAGGGTCAATCTTAGAAGAATCTAGATAATACACACATTTCTCTTACAGTTTTTTGCCCTGCTCGACTCTGGTGGTGAATAGCATAATGACCTCTCTTTAATTGATACAAAGTTTAAACTCAAGATGACATATTTTAAAACAGGCATCAAGGTTTAGTACTCCTCAAATACTCCCAGGGAGTTAAACTTTCTGTATTCTTGTCTACAAAGAGTTTTATTAAAACTCAGCTTGTTGTGCTAAAGAGAAAACAAGATTGTGGTAAGAGTTAGACTCCGATGTCACCCAAGCTGTGCAGTTTTGACCCAGGCTGTTTCTACTGGAAGCTTCAGATGTTTACGAAGGATACAATTTTTAATGTGTTTTTAATCATGAAGACATTTACAACTACCCTCCTCCTGACCCATCCATTGTCTCCTTTAGAGTCTCAGTGCTATCGGATTATCAACACTCTAAGTGACAAAGAAAACTTTCTTTGCCACGTCGATTTGCTGGCTGGACTCTGTCCCATGGCCTTAGCCATTCTGCCTAACCAGTTGTCAGTCCAACAGCTGTATGGGAAGGGAGTCAGAACCACTTCCTGGGTATGTCTGCTTCTCAGTATCAAAATTAAGTGCCCCCAAATTTTCTCCTTCTGGTTCAATGAGTTCCAAGGATTCCCCAGAACCAAAAGTACTCAAACTTGAATTAGTAGAATAATCTAATCTTGAAAGCGCAGGACTCTGAAAACTCCATCATTGCTGCCTCAGCAGTCCTCTTAGGAGCTGCTCTTCTACCTACCAACCCCAAAAGAGATCAGCAGATCAGTATTTCAGTGTGTGTGTCCTTTCAGGAGGGAACATCTGTATGGCTCTCTAACCCTGGAGAACATTCTGGAATTCCCCATCTCTGAAAAACGTGGGGACCTGAGTCCTGGAGGAGAATCACAGACAACTTTTCTTATAATTATGAAAACTGAGCAGGCCATCAGCTAAGAACCCCAGACCTGACCACATTCATGCATTTTGTTTTTGTTTTTTTGCATGGGGAAATGTGGTGGACATTTCCATACCTCATACAAAAAAAGGTGAGACATTTAAAAGCTATAGGCACTATTATAAAAGTAGTACTAAAGGAAACATGCATCGATATAGGTCAAATCAAAGTTTATAGTAGAACAAGACAGGCTATGAATAGAAGTATTCTTGGTCACTGACATTATTAATAACCTTTGTTTACTGTGCAAAATCTGTATAGCTCTAACTCTCAAGCCATCTAGATTTCACTATCAGGGAACAAGGAACCTTCCAACTTACCATAAGACAGATAGCAGATCTTCAGATATCGGTCCAGGCTAACAGCAGTCATGGTAATAAGGCTTCCACAGCCAAAGAAAAATCCAGCCCATCCATACCAGCGGCAGCCAAACCAGCCAAACACCCAGCGGTGGCAGAAGCAAGAGATGATGGTGAACGGCTTGCCTACAACTAGATTACCAAACAGATGTCAAAGGAAGTTCCTTGCCATTATCTCCATTCGCTCACTCGATTCACCTGGCCCTTCCTCCCCACAGACACACTTCAACGTGTGAGTATGCACATGAGATGGGAGATGTCCTGTATGCTGTGAATGTATGTTTCTCTTATTGGTTGATGAATCAATGCTGATTGACTCCAGGCAGGAAGTATAGGCGGGGCTACCAGACAAGGAGAATGCTGGGAAGAGGAAGACAGAGAGGAGCCTCCAGAGAGACACTGTGTAGCTACCGGAGAGACAGGATGCCAGGCATTCTCTGGTAAGCCAATACTATGTGGAAATATTTAGATTACTAGAAATGGGTTAATAATTAAGGGAAAGCTAGTCAATAAGAAGCCTGAGCCATCGACCAAACAGTTTGTAATTAATATAAGCCTTTATGTGTTTATTTGGTGCTAAATGGCTTCAGGACCAGGAGGAACAGAAACTTACATCTTCACACATGTACACACACACACACACACACACACACACACACACACACACTTCGCTATGCAAACCTGATAGATTAGTAACATTCTGACAGCTCATTGGTGGCCACTACAAACAAAACCCTGTTGTTGAAGACATAATAGGTCTCAGTCATAGACATAAAAGTGATCAAGCTAGAACCAGGCAAAAAGTTTCCTCCATGCTAGGTAATCCTCCACAGACTGCTGGGAGACAATTGTCCTCACCAGTCCTACTCAGCTGTAGATGATATGTTCAATGATAATACCATGAGTCTCCCTGTGCAATAATGAATAATACCACAACTGTTGTAGGAGTCACCACCTATGTTCTGATGGGATCTGAAGCTTGCTGCAGAAGCAGAGTTCACATCTGGAACTGTAAACCCAATCAAAAGCAGGTGGCTTGGGAAGTCCTGAAGAAGCTACCGCTGTTGTCCTGCTAAGGAGATGCCATGTGCCTTTTAAATAACTATGTTTTTGCCCATAGACTAGCGCCACTGTCGGCTCTGGCCAGAGAAATGTCATTTTGCAGTTAAGAGTGGTGACTTCAGAGACAACTGGAAAAAGTGTTGAGAATAAATGGCTGTTGAGAGACTGTCAAACCTCTCTCTCTCTGTCTCTCTCTCTGTCTCTCTCTCTCTGTCTCTCTGTCTCTCTGTCTCTCTCTCAGAAAACAACTCAGATGGAGCAGAAAGAATGTAAGAGTGGCAGGAAGGGATGGGGAGCATAGGACATGCTGACATCGTGACAAGACAGTCACACTCCTGAGCTCACAGCAGGTGTGACTACAGAGCTGTCCTCGACTGTACTAGGCCTGTCAGCACCCTGTTATGGGAAGGAAAGGGCTCATGGGTGCCCATCTCTCCCTGAAGATGATAGTTACTTAATGGTTGCTGAGGAAGGGAGAGGAATATCCTTTAGTGGGGTACACTGGTAAGGTGACCATGCTTCTGTAAGCAACCCTAATAAAAGTCACTGAAACCCACGCAAAAAAAAAACACATGAAAGCAGATGAGAGGCTATTAGGGAAGGGTAATGAATTAGTGAGGAAGATGCAGGAATGAGAGAGGGTGATGGAGAAGCAAGTATTATCAAAATATATTCAATATGTATACATATATATGTATGAAAGTGTCACATTATATTAATATATGTTAATAAAATCATTTGAAAACACTTTCCACTATTTTTAAAAGGCAAGTTGTTTTTTCATAAACCAAGCTTGAAATTACCCTGAAAAGTTTTCCTTCCTTCTCAACAGCCAAGGAACTTTTTAAAAATAATTATTGCTTTGTCTACTATCATAACTGTCTCAGAGACTCCTGGAAGTACAGGAGGGCAATGACAGCAATGTGATCACTTTTAATCTCTTATCAAATGGTTAATTCAAAAGCTGAGCAAGAAGGACACCATGTTTACACTAAAAGACTTGAGAGAAAGACCTATTTGCATGCCTTGAATTCAGAGTGGGAGACTAAAAGGCATATTCTCTCAATTTTGAATTTATTTACCATATATATGAATGTATTATGGCAAAAAGATACATAGAGATATGTATTTACTTTACTGTTTGCTGTGGTTCCTTTCAATAAATGCAAAACAGAAATTCATTTACTTCCAGGGAAAGGATCCAGGGACATGAAAAATGGGAGGAGTCTTGGAATTGGAAGGAACTTCACCGCTATGGTGATTTGCAAATGCCCCTCCCTCAAGAAGCTCCTGTGACAGCACACAACTTTCTGCGTATGTGCATTCATATGGGTGTGCCTGTGCCTTTGTGCAGGCCTCAGTGTGTGCGCATGTCGGCACGCACACACTATGCGCATGGGTGTGTGCAAGGGTGCACCATCTGTGTGTGCGGGACTCTGTGTGTGTGAGGGGAGACTGGACAAGGAGAGCCCAACCTTCCTTCAGTCAGGAAAAAATATTACCTTGTTTATGGATGCTTTATGATGTCATTTGATGTCTGATGTAGGAACAGAGGGACAAGTTAGGAAGAGAAACACCAGGAGTGGGTAGGGGTAGGGGAAGGGGGAGAAAGGGGGATGGGAGTCAATGAAGAGTATGAAGCCAATCCTGTAAGAAGGCTCATTACATTGGATACTATTTCTGAAACTCTAACAGATACTCTTTAGCGATCACTTTTTTGAGCTCCTTCATTTTCACAGTGAAACCCGATTTCCATGTTCTCTAGTAATTTTTCCTTCTCTGTTCGTTCTTTGCCTCACTTGTTCTGATGTTGCTCATTCAAATACAAGAGAAATGTTTTAGTAACCGTGACGTTCAAACGCAGGATAGCTGTTAGTAAATACAAGCTTCGATGTGTTTACCCCGAGAGGATGAGGGAGCGAGACAGATGATATACAGGAATTACTGGGGCGAAGAACAATAGTTCAGAGAGAGACGGGAATCGCTGTTTTCCATAAGAGAGTGATATTTGAGTAGAGTCAGAATCAGTGGACTCAAGAGTGTTCTGGCAGAGAAGACAGCAGACTCCAAACCTGTGCAGAATCCCCTTGTGTGTGGACACCAGAGCAGCAGAAAAGACAAAAGTGGCCTATAGACAAAAGGGAGTATCTGGGCCAGGTCTCCATCCAGAATGGGGTTTTTATTTGGTTTGGTGTGTGTGTGTGTGTGTGTGTGTGTGTGTGTGTGTGTGTGTGTGTGTGTGTGCTGATTGGTTGGTTGCTTTTTTGAGACAGAGTCTCAAGTAGCCCAAACTGGCCTCAAATGTATTCTGTAGCTGAAGATACAGGATGACCTTGAACTCCTTTGTCTTCACTTCCCAAGTGCTAGAGTTATGAGCTATAACTCTGTGCTCAGCCTGGAGTAGATGGAGCATTTGGTGTGCCTTGTTGGCAAGGTCATCTACAATGAGTGTCTCTGTCTGTCTGTCTGTCTGTCTATCGTCCATCTATCTGAATGTGTGTCTGTCTGTATCTGTGTCTCTGTCTACCGTTTGTCTGTCTGTCCCTTCCGCATGGTAGAACACTCCTCAGCCTGGCTGCTGTTAGAGTCACTGCAGTTGTTCCATTTTCATTGTATGTTCTTTGTTGTGCTTTCGCTGTCAATGTCCAGGACTTCCAACCCCAAAATCTGCTGATACAATATGTCTGCCAGGAACTCGGGCAGAGGTTTACTTCCTCTGACTCTCCAGCTTACTCTACTACGTGGTCTTTGGTAAGAGCCCTTGAGCCTAACACAACCTGCAATAGTTGCACAAATGCAACACGTCTGACTCTAGAATGTACTTCTTCAGGGTTCAGAATAGAATGCAGCTGAGTAAGGAAAAAGACAAAAAAAACTTTTAGGATGCATGGGAAGAAAGTGTATTACGTGACCTAGATTAACCAGAGAAAACTCGGGTGGAAGAAAACGCCTCCTGGTGGATTCCTGTAAGTGCATTTGCAGGGAAAGGTAAGAGGAGAGGCTGTTTTGGGGAGCCGAGGGGCAAGACGGAGAACAATTTCAATGTATCGACCAATTAAGAGCGTGTGTTAATTCAAGCCTGACCTACGTCAGCCTTCAGCAACAGTCAGGTATTACTCACTGGTGGAGGATGAGGCTGAAATGGCAGAGTTCACGAGGGCAGACATTTTACACTCACAACTAGGAAGCGCAGAGACTTAGGTGAGCAGGTAGAGGAAAACCAGAACGTTCCTGCTTCTCTGGCGCCATCTAGTGATAAACAGCCAAAATGCCAGTCACTTTGCCCCCTCTCCCAAACCTCGGAGTTCAGGCATGGAAAGGGGCCTGGAAATGCATTCCTCCTCTGCTGAACATACACATCTACCACGTAAGAGCTTTTGATAGCAGCGTCTATCCTTACCCAGTGACGCCTCCTCCAGGAACCAGGAGCAGAGGCAAACTCTCAGGAAAACGACAACACGTCTGCCGTTTAGTATTTTAGCAGACAATTCCGTTTATGAAAAGAGACAAACTATTTTAAAAGAGCAGCAAGAAACCGTTTGTTTGTTTTTTTAAGTACCGTCATAAAAACAAACACTTCCTCCCTAACAGCCAGAAACTACAGCTGCTTAAGCAATGTTTGAATCCAAATAAAAGTTAGGGTACAGCTAGGCAACCCTGGAACTTTATAGAAGAAATGACAAGACAATAAATATGCAGAATTGCTCTTTCTTAAATGAATTACAGTTAAAAATATTGCAGCTCCTCTTTTCTGACTTCTCTGAAAAGTCTAGGTAGCAAGGAAGAATCCAATTTTCAATTTTGTTCACGTAGTAACTTGCCTGGCGATGCATGAATGTGCACATATGGGGTGATGTATGTCTGTACCTCCGTGTGTGAGGTGTGTCCCTTGTGTGTGAGGTGTGTGTGCAGATGCACACATTTGTTAATGCATATGTGTAGACCAAATGTCAATGTTGGTGTCTACCACCTTATCAGGGGTGAGCAGGGTCTTTTACTGAAGCTGGAGTTGAAGCCCCTGAGTGTTCCTGCCTCCACTCCCAGTGCTGGGATTGGGAATATGTCACACCCGTGGATGCTAAGGATCCAAACTCAGGACTTCATGCACACTTGGCAAGCGCTTCACCCACCGAGCCTCTCAACCACTTGAACTAAATCCTCTGACACGAGTCATTTTAAGTGTACCCCATAATATTTTTTGTGCAGCCAGCTTTAAGGACCGTGGAAGCAGAAGCTTGGGATGGGTCCAGACGTCACAATTAAAATATCCGTTGGCCCACAGATCTCCACTCCTCTCATAATGACCTGTCACTGTCTTTGGCTGCCATTTTCCCTTCAAGATTCTACCCTCTTACCATTTATTTTCACCAGGTTAGATTGTGGATCTGCGGGCCAATGCACTGTGAGATGTATACAATATCATGTGTTGTTCAAAATCTTATCCTTAGCACTCAACATGCCTGGGGCATGGGAAAAGCTCAACAATGGGCTTGCAAATGACTCCGTGGGTAGAGTGCTTGTCATATAAGTCTGAAGACCAGAGTTCAGATCCTCAGCACCCATGTAAACAGTTGGTGGCCCTCCACTGGGAGGCAAAGATAGCGAGTTCCCTAAGGCAGGCTGGGTAGCTAAAAGGGCAAATTGTGGAGCTATGAATCCAGGTGAGAAACCCTGCCACAGTACATAAGGTGGAGAAGGATGGAGGAAAATAGTGACGTCAGCTTCTGGCCTACACAGACACAGAGGCACACACACACACACACACCCACACACACACCCCATGAAAGCATGTGCCCACACACATGTGTATATACATAAACACACATACAGCTTAATGTATAATCATACAAGTTTGCCCATCTATGTGAAAATGCACACACACACATACATAAATATATATGCACAAATTTAAAGTAAATAAAGAGGAAAGAAATTTGTCAACAACAACAACCACAATCTAGCCATGGTACCACATGTGCCTGTGATTCTAGCACCCCAGTGGAAGACATGAGGATGAAGACGGCGTCACCCCCATCTGCACAGCAAGTCAGGGGACAGCCTGGGCTACAGGAGACCTTGTCTCAAAAGGGAAAGGGGGAAAGTAAAGAAAGAAATGGAGAAGGAAGAAAAGAAAATAATTTTTCTGTTTCTATTTATACAATATAGTTTGATCATGATTTTCCCCTCCTCCAACTCCTCCCATGATCTTGCTACCTCTCTACCCACCCAACTTCATGTTCTCTCTCTAAAAAGAAACATGATAAAAAACAAAAGGAAAGAAGGAAGGAAGGAAGAAAAAGGAAGGAGGAAAGAAGAAAGAGAGAGAAAGAAAGAGAGAGAGAAAGAGAAAGAAAGAAAGAAAGAAAGAAAGAAAGAAAGAAAGAAAGAAAGAAAGAAAGAAAGAAAGGGAACTCAAACAGAAAAATGAATAAGAAAAAATGCCAATCAAAAAGCCCGCCAAAACTGTGGAGTTTCTTTTACATTGGCCAACTATCCCTAGTGGCATGTGGCATTCCATTGAAGAAAACTGGTTTTCTTTTTCCATTCCCACCAGGTATCAATTGTAAATAGCATCAGAAGAGGGAGCCAGACCGAATCCCATGACTAACCCAAAATAGTGACTGTTAAATGATCCCTTTAGCTGACATTCCACTGACTGTCTACAAACACTGTAAATACACTTTGAGAAGGTAGAGAAGATGT